AGAAGGGACATTGTGAGTTGGGACACTTGAGTTGGGACACTGTTAACTGGGACACGTGTGTTGGGACACTGTGAGTTGGGAAACTAGTAAATGTGACACGTGCGTTGGGGCACTGTGTGTTGGGACACTGCGCGTTGGGACACTGTTAGATCGGACACGTTTGTTGGAACACTGTGTGTTGGGACACTGTGAGTTGGGACACTGTGTTGGAACACTGTGAGTTTGGACTTTGTGAGAGGGGACACTGTGTGTTCGGACACTGTGAGTTGGGACATTGTGAGATTGGACACTGTGTGTTGGGGCTCTGTGAGATTGGATACTGTGATATTGGATACTGTGAGATGGAACACTGTGAGTTTGGACACTGCGTGTTCGGACACTGTTGGGACACTGTGTGTTGGGACACTGTGACTTGGGACACTGTGTGATGGAACACTGTGTGTTGGGACACTGTGAGATGAGATACTGGGACACTGTGAGTTGGGAAACTGTCAGATGGGACACTGCTGGGACACTGTGAGTTGGGACACTGTTAGATGGGACACGTGTGTTAGGATACTGTGTGTTGGGACACTGTGAGTTGGGACACTGTGTTGGAACTCATTGAGTTAGGACACTGTGAGAAGGGGACACTATGGGTTAGTACACTGTGTTGGAACACTGTGAGTTGGGAAAATGTGAGGTGGGACACGGTGAGTTGGGACACTGAGATGGGACACTGTGAGATTGGACGCTTCGTGTTGGGACACTGTGTGTTGTTAAACTGTGAGTTGGGACACTGTGAGGTGTGACACAGTGAGTTGGGACACGGTGAGTTGGGACACTGAGTTGGGATACTGTGTGTTGAGACACTGTGACTTGGGACACTGTGTGATGGAACACTGTGTGTTGGGACACTGTGAGATGAGACACTGGGACACTGTGAGTTGGGAAACTGTGAGATGGGACACTGTGTGTTGGGGCTCTGTGAGATTGGACACTGTGAGATGGAACACTATGAGTTTGCACACTGCGTGTTCGGACACTGTTGGGACACTCTGTGTTGGGACACTGTGACTTGGGACACTGTGTGATGGAACACTGTGAGATGAGATACTGGGACACTGTGAGTTGGGACACCGTTAGATGGGACACTGTGAGATAGGATACTGTGAGATGGGACACGGTGAGTTCGGACACTGTGTTGGGACACGTGTGTTGGGACAATGCTGGGAACTTGTCAGTTGAGACACTGTTAGATGGGACACTGTGTGTTGGGACACTGTGTGTTGGGACACTATGTGTTGGGACAATGTGAGTTGGGACACTGTGTGTTGGAACAATGTGAGTTGGGACACTGTGAGTTGGGACACATTGTGTTGGGACACTGTTAGATAGGACACTGTGTGTTGGGGCTCTCTGAGATTGGACACTGTGAGTTGGAGCACTGTGAGTTGGGACACTGCGTGTTCGGACACTGTTGGGACACTGTGTGTACAAACACTGTTGGGACACTGTGAGTTGGGAAGCTGTTAGATGGGACACGTGCGTTGGGACACTGTGTGTTGAGACACTGTGAGTTGGGACACTGTGTTTTTGGGACACTGTGAGTTGGGACACTGTGTGTTGGGACACTGTGTTGGGATATTGTTGGAACATTGTGTTGAGACACTGTTGGGACACTGTGAGTTGGGAAACTGTCAGATGGGACACTGCTGGGACACTGTAAGTTAGGATACTGTTAGATGGGACACGTGTGTTAGGAAACTGTGTGTTGGGACACTGTGAGTTGGGACACTGTGTTGGAACTCATTGAGTTAGGACACTGTGAGAAGGGGACACTATGGGTTAGGAAACTGTGTTGGAACATTGTGAGTTGGGAAAATGTGAGGAGGGACACGGTGAGTTGGGACACTGAGATGGGACACTGTGAGGTGGGACACTCTGTGTTGGGACACTGTGTGTTGCTATGCTGTGAGTTGGGACACTGTGAGGTGTGACACTGTGAGTTGGGACACGGTGAGTTGGGACACTGTGTGATGGAACACTGTGTGTTGGGACACTGTGAGATGAGACACTGGGACACTGTGAGTTGGGACACTGTGAGATGGGACACTGTGAGATAGGATACTGTGAGATGGGACACGGTGAGTCGGGACACTGAGTTGGGACACGTGTGTTGGGACAATGCTGGGAACTTGTCAGTTGGGACACTGTTAGATGGGACACTGTACGTTGGGACATTGTGTGTTGGGACAATGTGAGTTGGGACACTGTGTGTTGGAGCACTGAGTTTGTACACTGTGAGGTGGGACACTTTGAGTTGGGACGTTGCGTGTTGGGACACAGTGTATTGGTCAGTGTCATATGGGACACAGTGTGTTGATCACGTCATTTGGGACATTGAGATGGGACACTAGGTTGGGACACTGTGAGTTGGGACACTGTAAGTTTGGAGATGGGTGTTCGAACACTGAGATGGGACACTGTGTGTTGGGACACTGTGGGTTTGGACACTGTGTGTTTGGACACTGAGTTGGGACACTGTGGGTTTGGACCCTGTGAGTTGGGACCCTGTGAGTTGGGACCCTGTCAGTTGGGACAGTGTGAGTTGGGACACTGGGAATTGGGACACTGTGAGTTGGAACATTGTGTTCGGACACTGAGATGGGACATTGTGAGTTGGGACACTGTGAGTTCGGACACGGTGTGTTCGGACACTGTGAGTTGGTACCCTGAGTTAGGACACTGAGTTGTGACATTGTGAGTTTGGACACTGTGAGTTGGGACACTGTGAGATGGGACAGTTTGAGTTTGGACACTGTGAGTTTGGACACTGTGTTTGGACACTGTGAGTTTGGACACTGTGTATTTGGCCACTGTGTTGGGACACTGTGAGTTTGGACACTGTGTGTTGGGACACTGTGAGTTTGGACACTGTGTGTTGGGACACTGTGTGTTTGGACATTGTGAGTTGGGACACTGTGTGTTCCATACGAATGGGTGATGACGGATTTCTTCCATTCCTATGCTCAATAAACTATCTTTGGCTGGACACTTTATATATAAAGCGTCTAGATAAGTAAGAGGAATAAATAGGACCTTCTGAATATTAATGGAGTTACATTATTGATGTGTATAAATGGAGAAGAAAGGGGATATTAATTAATAATAGGCCTACTGAAGTTCATCATCTAATAGCAACAGTTGATGTTCTGGTTAACATAGATTGGAAGTAAATAGGAGATGTAAAATAGATTTTGGATGGCGTTATTATACATTTGGGTTCAGGTCACTTAGGGGCTAACGCCAAACTCACATACCGGCTTTTTAATCCCCTTGAGCGAAACGCTAAGACCTGGAGACGAGCAATCACTCGCTGGGGTAACACATGGGGCCAGATCGTGTCCCCTAAGGAAAAGCAAAACGGACACGATCCGGCCCACTTTCCACTTGTGTGTTGGGACACTGTGTGTTGGGACACCGAGGTGGGACACTATGTGTTGGGACACTGAGTGTTGGGACACTGTGAGATTGGACACTGTGAGATGGGACACTGTGAGATGGGACACTTTTGGGACACTGAGTTGGGACACTTTGAGATAGGAAACTGTGAGTTGGGACACTGTGGGCTGGGACACTGTAAGATGGAACAAGTGTGTTGGGACACTGAGTAGGGACACTGTGAGTTGGGACACTGTTAGATGGTACAAGTGTGTTGGAACACAGTGTGTTGGGACACAGTGTTGGGACACTGTGCGATGGGACACTGTGTTGGGACACTGTGAGATGGGACACTGTTAGATGGGACACGTGTGTTGGGACACTGTGTGTTGGAACACTGTGTGTTGGAACACTGTGAGTTGGGGTACTGTGTGTTGGGATACTGTGTTGGGACACTGTGTGTTGGGACATTGTGTGTTTGGACACTGTGATAGGGGACACTGTGAGATGGGACACTGTGTGTTGGGACACTGAGGTGGGACACTATGTGCCCTTTGTGGGTGGCAAGGTTGTGTGCACACTGTCAGTTGGGACATTGTGAGATGGGACACTGTGAGTTGGAACACTGTTGGGAACCTGTGTGTTAGAACACTGCTGTTGGGACACTGTCATTTGGAACACTGAGATGGGACACTGTGTATTTGGACACTGAGATGGAACACTAATTTGGGACGCTGTGAGTTGGGACACTGTGTGTTGGGACACTGTGAGTTGGGACACTGTGAGTTAGGACACTGTGAGAGTTGGGACACAAGAAACAAGAGAACAATGAGTAAGAGCCCTGGGAGTATGAATGCACAGAGTAAGAATTCTAAGAGGGAAAAGACTACAAGTTGTAGCACTGAGAGCAAGAGGACGGCGAGTAATGTTACTGAGAGTAAGAGTACTCTTCCACCACAGAGACTAAGAGCTCTGAGTGAAAGTCAATTGCGGACAAAAAAAACATGAATATTGCTCCCCGTGACGGGCGCCGCGCGAGGAGGGACTAAACAACGGGAATGCATCAACATCACAGAGGAAATGTAAACATTGTGGTGAGATTACTGAGCTTCAGTGGTTTCACAGCGAATAAGTTCGAGGCTCTGAAGGAAAAAAGTTTTCATTGGTCAGGCGATGGTGTGAAGACGGGTGGAATGAAAGGCTTATAAGCTCCAGCATTTATTATGAACCCAAGTTTTTGGTTACAGTGAAGGAGACAGTGTAGGGGAAATATGTGTGTGTGTGTGTGTGTGTGTGTGTGTGTGTGTGTGTGTGTGTGTGTGTGTGTGTGTGTGTGTGTGTGTGTGTGTGTGTGTGTGTGTGTGTGTGTGAGTGATATAGGGAGAGAATGTGGAGAAAGTGGGAAAGGAGTGACGAGCAATGAAAGGGGAAGGGGAAGCGGTTGATTAGAGGAAAGGGAATTGGAGCGAGGACATGGGTATTGGGGGGGGAGGGAGTGTAGAAGGAGATTCAAGGGTGGAGTGAGGTAGATGGTGGAATGTGGAGAGTGAGAAAGGTGTGTGGAAAAGAGACAAGGGTTAGTTGAGTGGGAGATGGGTTGTGTCGAGGGAGAAGGGTTGAGTGGGAGATGGGTTGTGCCGAGGGAGATGGGTTGAGTGGGAGATGGGTTGTGCCGAGGGAGATGGGTTGAGTGGGAGATGGGTTGTGTCGAGGGAGAAGGGTTGAGTGGGAGATGGGTTGTGCCGTGGGAGATGGGTTGCGTCGAGGGAGATGAGTTGTGTCGAGGGAGATGAGTTGTGTCGAGGGAGATGGGTTGTGTCGAGGGAGATGGGTTGAGTGGGAGATGGGTTGCGTCGAGGGAGATGAGTTGTGTCGAGGGAGATGAGTTGTGTCGAGGGAGATGGGTTGTGTCGAGGGAGATGAGTTGTGTCGAGGGTGATGGGTTGTGTCGAGGGAGATGGGTTGTGTCGAGGGTGATGGGTTGTGTCGAGGGTGATGGGTTGTGTCGAGGGTGATGGGTTGTGTCGAGGGTGATGGGTTGTGTCGAGGGTGATGGGTTGTGTCGAGGGTGATGGGTTGTGTCGAGGGTGATGGGTTGTGTCGAGGGTGATGGGTTGTGTCGAGGGAGATGAGTTGTGTCGAGGGTGATGGGTTGTGTCGAGGGAGATGGGTTGTGTCGAGGGTGATGGGTTGTGTCGAGGGTGATGGGTTGTGTCGAGGGTGATGGGTTGTGTCGAGGGTGATGGGTTGTGTCGAGGGTGATGGGTTGTGTCGAGGGTGATGGGTTGTGTCGAGGGTGATGGGTTGTGTCGAGGGAGATGGGTTGAGTGGGAGATGGGTTGTGTGGGAGATGGGTTGAGTGGGAGATGGGTTGTGTGGGAGAAGGGTTGTGTGGGAGATGGGTTGTGTGGGAGATGCGGTGAATGGGAGATGGATTGAGTAGGAGATGAATTGAGTGGGAGATGGGTTGAGTTGGAGATGGGTTGCGTGGGAGATGGGTTGCGTGGAAGATGGGTTGAGTTGGAGATGGGTTGCGTGGGAGATGGGTTGTGTGGGAGATTGGTTGTGAGGGAGATAGGTTGTGTGGGAGATGGGTTGTGTGGGAGATGGGTTGCGTGGGAGATGGGTTGTGTGGGAGATGGGTTGTGTGGGAGATGGGTTGTGTGGGAGATGGGTTGTGTGGGAGATGGGTTCTGTGGGAGATGGGTTGAGTGGGAGATGGGTTGAGTGGGAGATGGATTGAGTAGGAGATGAATTGAGTGGGAGATGGGTTGAGTTGGAGATGGGTTGCGTGGGAGATGGGTTGCGTGGAAGATGGGTGGAGTTGGAGATGGGTTGCGTGGAAGATGGGTTGAGTGGAAGATGGGTTGAGTGGGAGATGGGTTGCGTTGAAGATGGGTTGAGTGGGAGATGGGTTGAGTGGGAGATGGGTTGAGTGGGAGATGGGTTGAGTGGAAGATGGGTTGAGTGGGAGATGGGTTGAGTGGGAGATGGGTTGAGTGGAAGATGGGTTGAGTGGGAGATGGGTTGAGTGGGAGATGGGTTGAGTGGAAGATGGGTTGAGTGGGAGATGGGTTGAGTTGGAGATGGGTAGAGTGGGAGACAGGATCTGTCCTGGCACAACTAGGTGTCCCATCTAGTTATAATAAAAATGTAATTATGTTCTGTTTTATGAATAAAACACTAAAAGGAGATTTTTTAGATTTATTTCTAATTAATAATAAATTCCGTGTGAGACGATCAAGATTTTATTCAGAAATTACGGGCCAGATAAAAAAATGGTGGATCTCTCTATTTGGGAATCTTTGGGAAGTTATCTCTCTGACGACTAACAATGCGCAGGTCTCCTCCTGCGAGTGATAACTATAGAACTTGTGCACGTAGCTTTTGCACATCGTAGTGCTTTTACATATATGGGTGCACTGCAATTTTTCCACTAAGGTCAAGTTTGAAAAGCCATCCTCATTCAGAACGCATTTTTAAAATGCAGCTAAACTACAGCCTGTGAAATTCTGTGAAATTGGCAATGTATGTTCTCGTTGCAGCGTCATAGCCTCTGAAACCCCAAACGCAAGCTGATTGTTTTCTAGCTTGTGGCTGTTTCCTGGTTGACTGGCTTCACCGCAGCCTTAGACACGAGACATCTGCGGGTTTTGCAGAAGCAATGGGCATGATTCTCCCATCCATCTTTCTTGCAGAACAAAGGGCAGCTTCGAAAAAGAGAGGCCTGATGTCTTTGGGGGGAGTCACCAGCCAGGAACATGTTGGGAACCTTGAGAGGTGGGCTGGAGGCTCTCTGCGACATCATCGACTGTTGGGTACAGCATTTTTGTGATGTTCTGGGGGTCTTAGTGCCGTAAAGCCTGGTTGATGGGGTTCTGGGAGTTCTTCTACTCCCCAAGCCCGGCCCGAGGCCAGGCTCGACTTGTGAGAGTTTGGTATCTAGGCTTTGTCTCCAAAGAATGTGAAGGGCCTGCGATAGCAGTTTTTTTTACCGTTCTTGATGAATATAGAGTTCCAAGAATTAGGGCCTGGTGCAGAGTACATAGGCATACTGTTTATGGCTTCTTCAAAATCCAGTGAGGATAGGGTGACATCTGATATATGATTTGATGTTGGTATCATACCCATGAAAAATTAATTTGGGTTATCGATCTTTAGTGCGTTTATTGGCTCGCTGAAAATAGAGTCGTACTGCTTCCTCAGTAACTCTCTCATTTCTTTGTTGTCATCGGTGAAAGTTCCATCTCCCTTTCGCAGTGGCCCGATACTGGATGTGGTTTTTTATCTTGATTTTGCATAGGAGAAAAAATATTTCGGATTTCCCTCTATTTTACTAATGGCCTTTTGCTCACTTTGCCTCTCCTGGGTGTTGTATGATTCTTGTAGCTTTAGTTCAATGTTACTATTTCTCTACCTAACCTTCTTCGCCGTTTTTGAGATAGGGTGCGATGCTCAAGTTCTTCTGCAATTCGTTTTCTTCGCCTATAGAGGGAACGACGTTCTCGTTCCAATCTGCATCTCTTCCTCTTTTTTTCTTAGGGGTATGCGGTTTGAACATATATCTAGTGCTACTGAGCTTATTTTTTCCAGGCACTGGTTCAGGTTTGCATTTTCTAGCTGTTCTTCCCAGCTTACTTCTGTGAAGTCTTGGTTTATTTGCTCCCAGTTTATCTTTTTATTATTGAAGTTGAATTTGCTGAAATTACCTCCACCGGGCTTCGGGACTGGTTTTGAAGGTTTATTCCCCCATGCTTGTCAGAACTTCAATTATGTTGTGATCTGAGTAACAGGTATTTGTAATCATTATGTTCCTGATCAATTCATCATTATTAGTCTACATAACATCTACATAACCCTGGTCAACAATTGTTCAGAACATTGGTGTACATTGGTAGACCCCCAGTGTACACCAGCCTCCCCCCTACCCCAGAAGCCACCAGCCTCCCCCCTACCCCAGCCCCCCTACCCCAGAAGCCACCAGCCTCCCCCCTACCCCAGCCCCCCCTACCACAGAAGACCACCCCAGCCCCCCTACCACAGAAGCCCACCCCAGCCCCCCTACCACAGAAGCCCACCCCAGCCCCCCTACCACAGAAGCCCACCCCAGCCCCCCTACCACAGAAGCCCACCCCAGCCCCCCTACCAGAGATGCCTACCCGCCTCCCTTTGATCCAGGCGGGAAAGACATTGCTGCTTTACGTGATCCATGTCCCAGGTAAGGTGGAAAGGGGAGGGAATTACGAAAGGAAAGCGCCAAGCCATTATGACTGTATAGCCCTTGAAATCGTTCAGGATAATGATTTGGGATGAGACAGGTGGGGGGGGGGGATATATAAAATACTGCCCAACCAATTGAACGGTCGGGGATTGAACCCCGATCTGCATGAAGCGACACCGTCGCTCTACCGTCCTGCTCAAGTGGTTGGAGAGTCCCAAGTTGGGTGGTTGGGTGTGGTGGTGGATGGATGGGCGTTGTGGTGGATGGTTGGGTGTTGTGGTTGGGTGTGGTGGCGAGTGGTTGGGTGTGGTGGCGGGTGGTTGGGTGTGGTGGCGGGTGGTTGGGTGTAGTGGTGGGTGGTTGAGTGTGGTGGTGTGTGGTTGGGTGTGGTGGCGAGTGGTTGGGTGTGGTAGTGGATGGTTGGGTGTGGTGGCGGGTGGTTGGGTGTAGTGGTGGGTGGTTGAGTGTGGTGGTAGGTGGTTGGGTGTAGTAGTGGGTGGTTGGGTGTGGTGGTGGGTGGTTGGGTGTAGTGGTGGATGGTTCGGTGTGGTGGTGGGTGGTTGGGTGTAGTGGTGGATGATTGGCTGTGGTGGTGGGTGGTTGGGTGTGGTGGTGGATGGTTCGGTGTGGTGGTGGGTGGTTGGGTGTAGTGGTGGATGATTGGCTGTGGTGGTGGGTGGTTGGGTGTAGTGGTGGGTGGTTGGGTGTGGTGGTGGATGGTTGGGTGTAGTGGTGGGTGGTTGGGTGTGGTGGTGGGTGGTTGGGTGTGGTGGTGGGTGGTTGGGTGTAGTAGTGGATGGTTCGGTGTGGTGGTGGGTGGTTGGGTGTAGTGGTGGGTGGTTGGGTGTGGTGGTGGATGGTTGGGTGTAGTGGTGGGTGGTTGGGTGTGGTGGGGGGTGGTTGGGTGTAGTAGTGGATGGTTCGGTGTGGTGGCGGGTGGTTGGGTGTAGTGGTGGGTGGTTGGGTGTAGTGGTGGGTGGTTGGGTGTAGTGGTGGATGGTTGGGTGTGGTGGTGGGTGGTTGGATGTAGTGGTGGATGGTTGGTGTGGTGGTGGGAGGTTCGGTGTGGTGGCGGGTGGTTGGGTGTAGTGGTGGGTGGTTGGGTGTGGTGGCGAGTGGTTGGGTGTGGTGGCGAGTGGTTGGGTGTGGTAGTGGATGGTTGGGTGTAGTGGTGGATGGTTGGGTGTAGTGGTGGGTGGTTGGGTGTAGTGGTGGGTGGTTGGGTGTAGTGGTGGATGGTTGGGTGTGGTGGTGGGTGGTTGGATGTAGTGGTGGGTGGTTGGATGTAGTGGTGGATGGTTGGTGTGGTGGTGGGAGGTTCGGTGTGGTGGCGGGTGGTTGGGTGTAGTGGTGGGTGGTTGGGTGTGGTGGCGAGTGGTTGGGTGTGGTGGCGAGTGGTTGGGTGTGGTAGTGGATGGTTCGGTGTGGTGGCGGGTGGTTGGGTGTAGTGGTGGATGGTTGGGTGTAGTGGTGGATGGTTGGTGTGGTGGTGGGTGGTTCGGTGTGGTGGCGGGTGGTTGGGTGTAGTGGTGGGTGGTTGGGAGTAGTGGTGGGTGGTTGGATGTAGTGGTGGATGGTTGGTGTGGTGGTGGGAGGTTCGGTGTGGTGGCGGGTGGTTGGGTGTAGTGGTGGGTGGTTGGGTGTAGTGGTGGGTGATTGGGTGTTGTGGTGGATGGTTGGTGTGGTGGTGGGAGGTTCGGTGTGGTGGCGGGTGGTTGGGTGTAGTGGTGGATGGTTGGGTGTAGTTGCGGGGGGTTGGGTCCAGGAGTGGATGGTTGGGTGTGGTGGTGAGTAGTTGGGTGTAGTGGAGGGTGATTGGGTGTGGTGTTGGGTTGTTGGGTGTAGTGGTGGGTGATTGGGTGTTGTGGTGGGTGATTGGGTATGGTGGTGGGTGATTGGGTATGGTGGTGGGTGGTTGGGTATGGTGGTGGGTGGTTGGGTGTGGTGTTGGGTGGTTGGGTTTGGTGGTTGATAGGTGGGTGTGGTGGTGGGTGGTTGGGTATGGTGATGGGTGGTTGGGTTTGGTGGTTGATAGTTGGGTATAGTGGTTGGGTGGTTGGGTGTTGGGTGTGGTTGGGTGTGGTGGTGGGTGGTTGGGTGTAGTGGCGGGTGGTTGGGTATGGTGGTGGGTGGTTGGGTTTGGTGGTTGATAGTTGGGTATAGTGGTAGGGTGGTTGGGTGTTGGGTGTGGTTGGGTGTGGTGGTGGGTTGTTGGGTGAAGAGGTGGGTGATTGGTGTGATGTAGGGTGGTTGGGTGTAGTGGCGGATGGATGGGTGTTGTGGTGGGTGGTTGGGTGTAGTGGTGGGTGGTTGGGTGTTGTGGTGGGTGGTTGGTTGTAGTGGTGGGTGGTTGGGTGTAGTGGTGGGTGGTTGGGTGTGGTGGTGGGTGGTTGGGTGTGGTGGTGGGTGGTTTGGTTTGGTGGTGGGTGGTTGGGTGTAGTGGTGGGTGGTTGGGTGTAGTGGTGGGTGGTTGGGTGTTGTGGTGGGTGGTTGGGTGTGGTGGTGGGTGGTTGGTTGTAGTGGTGGATGGTTGGGTGTGGTGGTGGGTGGTTGGGTGTTGTGGTGGGTGGTTGGGTATGGTGGTGTGTGGTTAGGTGTGGTGGCGGGTGGTTGGGTGTGGTGGTGTGTGGTTGGGTTTGGTGGTGGGTGGTTGGGTGTAGTGGTGGGTGGTTGGGTGTTGTGGTGGGTGGTTGGGTTTGGTGGTGGGTGGTTGGGTGTAGTGGCGGATGGTTGGGTTTGGTGGTGGGTGGTTGGGTGTAGTGGTGGGTGGTTGGGTGTAGTGGTGTGTGGTTGGGTTTGGTGGTGGGTGGTTGGGTGTAGTGGTGTGTGGTTGGGTGTGGTGTTGGGTGGTTGGGTTTGGTGGTGGGTGGTTGGGTGTAGTGGCGGATGGTTGGGTTTGGTGGTGGGTGGTTGGGTGTAGTGGTGGGTGGTTGGGTGTAGTGGTGGGTGATTGGGTGTGGTGTTGGGTGGTTGGGTGTAGTGGTGTGTGGTTGGGTTTGGTGGTGGGTGGTTGGGTGTGGTGGCGGGTGATTGGGTGTGGTGTTGGGTGGTTGGGTGTGGTGGTGGGTGGTTGGGTGTAGTGGTGGGTGGTTGATAGTTGGGTGTAGTGGCGGGTGGTTGGGTGTGGTGGTGGGTGGTTGGGTGTAGTGGCGGGTGGTTGATAGTTGGGTGTAGTGGCGGGTGGTTGGGTTTGGTGGTGGGTGGTTGGGTGTGGTGGTGGGTGGTTGGGTGTAGTGGCTGGTGGTGGATAGTTGGGTGTAGTGGCTGGTGGTGGATAGTTGGGTGTAGTGGTGTGTGGTTGGGTTTGGTGGTGGGTGGTTGGGTGTAGTTGTAGGTGATTGGGTGTGCTGTTGGGTGGTTGGGTGTGGTGGTGGATAGTTGGGTGTAGTGGCGGGTGGTTGGGTGTAGTGGCGGGTGGTTGGGTTTGGTGGTTGATAGTTGGGTGTGGTGGCGGGTGGTTGGGTGTAGTGGTGGGTGGTTGGGTATAGTGGTTGGGTGGTTGGGTGTGGTGGTGTGTGGTTGGGTGTGGTGGCGGGTGGTTGGGTGTGGTTGGCGGGTGGTTGGGTGTGGTGGTGTGTGGTTGG